CATTTTTAAAAAGTCTGTGTAAACACACAGATTATAGCCTATATATTTACTCCAGAAACTAACTCTACAAACATGGAAAACAGTGATAGATGGGCCTCTTAACCTTTACGCTGAGGAGAAAATCCAACGCAACTTTTGAGTAGACCAAGTGAAACATGATTATGTATTTCTGCTCAGCTAGCAACACTGGACATTAACCACACGACATACGCTAATAACTTTTCATCACTGTCTACTTTCTATTGTTTGTTTGCTCAGGCTCTGGCGTTTCTCAGCGCCGTCAAAATAAAAGTCACAACAACAAGCGCGGCTTACGTCACTTTAGAGTTCCTACTGGCGGTGCGAATACAACAGGAAAACGTTCCTATAAGAACCATTAGTTCTCGGGGAACCACCCTGGTGGTTAGTTCCTTAAAGTTCCTAGAACTATCTGGTGCCCCTATTAATGTAAATTGCTATTCTATTTGGTGTCGCTTGTGGCTTAGAAATGACACACTTTAAGTTAAAGGTGACTACATTAATGTTCCGGCACATGATATTCCTGTACTCTATATCCATATTCTCTCCTGACAGCAGAATTGACTATGAAGTGGGGATCAATTTAATGTGTTTAGAGACTAGCGGCGATATTTGACTCTGCTGATTTGATGAAGTGGAGTTAAGAAGCCCTTCATCAAATAGCCATCAGCAAAGCCCAGTGTCTCCTCTGAGTCCACCGCGACCTTTTCACGACACCGCACTCTCTTACCTCACACCTCACTGCAGACAACACAAGTGTGAGATCACATGGGGCTGAAGAAAGCTCTTCTGTTGTCATTTGTTCTACACGTTTTCTCTCACTCACTCTCCTTCTCTTTCCTTTCCCTGCTTTTTAGCAGATATATCAGACCGTACCTCTTAAAACCAAATCCTTTTAGGGGGCTTTCACACTGGCAGTTTACTTCGAAACAGAGCACAGTTTGCATGAAGAACTGGTAATATGAAAGCTGTCATGCGGACCCGGGAGCGGTCAAAATATATGTCAAAATATCCTTGTAAAGTGACTGATCTTGACTGAATAGCTTGTGTAACTTTCATAAGGATTTATCTATATATATATATATTTTTTTTAACTATATGCGGTGTTATCTTACATTTGATTATATTTGATTTCTTGCACTTTGTTCAGTAGAATTAATTATTTTGTGCTACTGCTAATTTGTTTATTTTATAATATATAATTTATAATATATTCTTATTTTATAACTAATTGTCTTTATTAATGTTTGAAATATATATTAGTAAGTTGTTTTTTCTGATATTTTTCTACAAAGTTCCTTGTGAAAGGGTTTTTGAGGCTGCTGATTTTTTTTCGTGCTATTTAGTACAACAAAATGTTTTGCAAAAAGACAGTATAAATATGTTTGATATTTAAATGTTTGGTTTATTTATTTACTTATATTTATTTATACCTTATTGGAGTAAAAACTGGGAAAAGGAATACATTTTTTTCATACAATGGTGTCCAGTGTTGTTTTGATATTTTGAAAGAAAGAACGTTTGGGATGACACTAGGAAGAGTAAAGGATGAAGATCATTTTGCAGCATTGCATGTGTTCTTCACAGATAAGGCAATCCCAGAATTCTCTCTGATTATTAAAAACAAAACAAAAAAACAATGTAAAACCTGAATAATAAACATACTTCACATTGTTATTTTAGTATTTTTATATACAATTATAGCATTTATAAAAAATTTTAGTTTTTATTTTTGTTTTCATTTTAGTTTTAGTATTTTTTTAATTTTAATATATTTTTTTAATTCATATTCAGCTTTAATAAGGCTTTAAATTTTATTTCGGTTTTAGTTTTAGTATTTATAGCTATCTAATTTTCATCTAGATTTTTTATTTTATTTATTTAATTGTATATATATATTTTATTTCAGCTTTATTTCAATTATCAAATGTTTTTTTTTTTTTTACTATTTTTAGTTCTATTTTCAAAGAACAATAACAGCACTTATACTTAGAACGTACAATTATTGGTTGATAGTTCCATCTAATTACCGCAAATATTTGAGTGCTCTGTGCTGCATATTTTATGCTTATTCTTGTGCCTTTAGCTTAGCGACATTCTACCGTTTGACAATAGGAATCAATCAATTGTGTACCAAGTCTCCTGTGTGTTTCACATGATTGGTGCTACTTTGTGTGGCGCACATGCTGTGAAGAACGTTCCAAATCTGTCACTTATAAGGCTCCATGTCAGATAGATGCTGTCAGCTGATGTCGGCTGTAGACAGCAAGACAGCACACTCGGTTTTGGAACAAAGCTCCAGATTTAATGTGTCCTGTTGATGTTTTCAGAATTAGTCTATCCTCTCTTGGTGGCTTATGAATCTCTGAAGCATTACGATTGTTTCAGTTAAAAATGAACACTGACACACACCGTCCTGCACACTAAAACACTGCATTACTGCATTGCAGATCCTTTGTATGTCATGAAGTGTTATGACATGACACTGTTGGTTCACACTATTTCAATGGCAAGGCTGGCTTGCATTAAATATAAGCATATTTGAATAAAGTCAGGAAGATTAATGACAGCCATCTTGCTTGATGAATGATACTGTAGGGTTGGACAAGTGCTGCAATAATGCAGAAATCACTCCCCATTTGATATGTATCACTTGTTTAAATGATGGAACAGATCCAGTGATGGATAATAAATTCACTCAAGTCAAAACTGACTGCTTCAACGGAGCTGCCATTTCAGTGTATACAACATATCATTGGCCAGGCTAATTGGTACAACTTGTTGGGCCCCTCTGAATTCTTTGATGATATAAGAGCAGCTGAATGGCCCCGGCAGACTGTGGCGGCTCTCCAGGCCTCTGCAGCCAGAGATGATTTATTTATGCCTGCAATTCTGATACCTCTCAAACTGCAATCGAATATCAACAGACATCCTGCCAAATGGAGCAGATTGACCGTGACTGTGAAGGAGAGAGGGGGACAGATCTGCTAAAACGAGGGCCACGGGCCCTCTGATCTGCCGCCTGACCCTGTTTACTATTACTTAAAGGGATAGTTCACCCAATTCTGCCATCATTTACTCATCCTCTGATATTTTCTTTTGTGTCATACAGGTTTGGAACGACATGAGGGTGAGAAAATTATGACAATATTCTTTTTTGGGAGAACTATTCTTTTGAAGGATGCCAGGAGACCCTGTTTACAGCTGTCCTTAACATTGTCATAGTCATATTTATGACCAGATCCCATGCAAGATGAAATCATTTATTGTTACTGTCACTTTAGTTTTAGTTTCAGTTTAGTTTTCATGGACTCTCAAGATGTGCCCAAAATTAAACCTCAGTTTTTTCTGTTCTTTGTTTGGCGTTGCTTGTGTTTAAGAGCACACTGTTACATTTAATTAATATTAATATTAATCCTTGCTTTTTTCTTTGTTTTATTTGTTTATTAAAGTATACGGCTGCATTTAGATCCACTTGCCTTATCTCATCCTCATTGCCTGATCAGACGTTACAGTTACAGTAAGAGTTTATCTGTAACTAAAATAATTAGGGTCTCAATTTGGATGACATTAAAATGGAGCAGATACATTTACTCAAAATACAACTACCGGTAGTAAAAAGGAAACACCCAATTTATATAATTTAAACATGGTGATAAAGAGCAGCAATTAACTACGGTATATTTTGCTACAAAAAGGACATTTCTGCGGTGACTCATAAAATGAATCATTTACTCTTTGAACTAATGAACTGTTCAAATGAATAAACTGATTCACCAATTCAAATGAATTGATTCACTTATGGATTACCCGTCCCGTACATATTCTAGGATAAGCACAAGCACGCAGATATATTTGATCATTTTTTAGACAACTTTTAAACTGGCTATCTTTACACTATATGCTGCTTTAAAAGTATACAGTAGTTCAGCCCAAAATGAAACTATGTATTCATTCTGTGATCATTCTGTTGTTCCAATTTCAATGTTGTTTTGATATTCTTTGGAACGACTTAGAGTGAGTAAATGGTGACAGAATTTTGGTAAATAGTGACAGGTGTCCTTCATGGACAAGACAATCCCAGAATGCACTGTGATGTAAAAAAAAAACTTGATCGATATTATATAGTATTATTATACTATATATATTATTATATACTGAAAAGTATTGATTAAAAAAAGTTCCAACTAATGACTTTTACCAAATATTTGTGGTGTGTATTTTCATGCTTGTGTTTGTGTCATTAGCTTAGCAACATGTCAACATCAATTGTGAACCAAACCTGCGTCCCAACAAACCTACTTCCATACTATATAGTTGTCGAAAAACAGTATGTGAGCTGAGTAGTCTGTCCGAATTCACAGTATTCATGAAACATTAGGCAAGAAGTACCCAGAGATTCTGAAGTGCGCATTCAGTGGGCACTTTACTATCCCATGAGGCCACAGGAGAGGAGTTGTGGCCTTATGGGATAGTAAAGCGACGCAACTGACGCTGTAGGTCACATGACAGTTACAACATGGCAAATATAGAACATCCAAATTCCATTCATACCACACACATTCATACTGTATAAAACATACTTTTTTAATGGTCATGCTGTAAGTTTCCAACCAAATGTAGTGCCTACTATATAGTATGCAATTTTGGACGCAGCTCAAGTCTCCTGTGTGCTCTGTGATAAAGCTGTGTGTGCAGTAGAATATGATATTAAAACCATGATGTTTGTGATGCTTTATTGATGGAATCCCTGCCTTCTGTGACACTACTGAAAAAAGCTAGTTTAATAAATACTTGCTAAAACGTGCTAAAAATTGCATTCAGAAGTTCTGTTCAGAGGGTGTCCCTTGTGTTTTCATCACATTTGCAATCTCACATCTCACCCTGTGATGAGCAGCACAGATCCAGGGAACACAGTGAGATCAACAGAAGGATTTGATGTCTTAGGTGAACCTGTTCAAACATCTGCTTCTGTTCCACAGGGGTCAAACAGACGTGTCCACCAGAGAAGTTTGACTGTGGGGGAAAGTGCGTGTCGCTGTCCTGGCGGTGTGACGGGGAAAGAGACTGTGAAAACGGCGAAGATGAAGCGGACTGTGCAGCAGGTGAGTCTGCTCTCTTCCTCTCCGACTGAGTGTTTGATTCTCCGCAGGGAGTTTTGTTCAAGGCTGAGGTGATACTTTGAACGGGCTTTCACCCCAGTGCTGTGGATCTGCTTCATTCGTGTCTCTGAAAGGCACAGAGAGGAGAGAGTTTATTTTCCGAGCACACTTTTGTCTTAAGTCTATGCTCTCTCTTTTATTGAAACTCTAGTACTGGACAATTACATGTTGTTTGGACAATTGTAGTTCTAGACAGTTACAACTGAGAGTCAATTATAGCAATTATTTTAGGTGTGCGCCTGTTGTGTAATTATTATTTTTACAAAGTGTTTGCAGAGGTGGAGCATTGTAACCAATCACAGATATGGTGTTGTGCGCATGAATGTAATAGTGAGACATTTAGGTTAGTCTACAGATCAATTAGTGACAGTATTTTTGAGTTTTAAACAGTCTGATCCACAAGCGTGTGCTGTATGTTTTATTTAAAGTCCCTATATAGTCAATAATTGTATCACTAAAAATCACTTAAAACTCTTCCTTGAAAAAAAATTCTTCATGCCTTAAAATAGCTTGAATGCAGCTTTGCATTCATTGCATTTCAATGCAACCCTTGCCTCATTTAGTATACATGGTTCATGGTTATAGCCCCGCCTCCACTCACTCACACCAGCCAGAGATCCACTCGTTGACGATCACACGTTGACGTGATTGGTTACAAGGTAGTTTGTGACATCAGAAACACCAGAGATTTCAAACCGCGTTTTTGAGACTGTCTTTGGTTCACTGCGGTTCACCATACTCAGCAATGGTGTTGAATTTGTACATGGTTTGTCTTAAAGCATATTAAAAACACCACATAGACATATAAACAATATTAAAAGCTGGATTTTCACCACAGGCTTAACCCTCTGGCTCTGTTTGGTCATTAAATTGCACATTTTGATTTTTTTTAAACTTGGTGACTTTATAGCACTTGCTATGTGAACACACACACATTTTATATACTTTATTTGATTCCTCATTACAAGTCAAATTTCATTAGGAATCAAATTTTTTTTAAATAATCCAACAGATTAAAACAAATCAGCATATTGTTATGGATTAAACTTTGCCAACTGTTTGGCCCCATTTTAGAAATCCCCCCCAATGCAAAGTCCACGGACCGCCAGCCTGTGTACATGACCTAGACTACCAAACACTAGCACAAGAAGCTGACATTTGTACCCAAGGTTCTCAATGGTCGATATCAATGACTGATATTTTAGAATTTCAGAGCAGTAAGAGTCCGCCACAAACAGGTCAAATGCACATAACACCTCAAATAGTGTAACTTTTTTGCCATTCTGAGAGATGTTAACAATATCAGGTGTATAGCAATTCCTAAATGGGTGGAGGTAAACCACAGTGATAAGTTGTATTTTGTAGGAAGAACCTGCAGACGTGCTTTGACACAGAAAGTGAGGATCTCCTGTGTGATACGGAGTGGTCCGCGCAGGGCAGTTTTGCCAACTTTCCCTGGAGTTTCAGACTGGACCAGTACTCCATATTTTGGGCTCTGTGAATAAACAATAGAGTCTGCCTTGATGTTCTAGGCTGGAGCAGGTGAACAGTGTTGTTATGGGGCAGCCTGGCTTCCACGATGACAGATGGCTCCTCTACGACTGCATCAGAGACCTCTACAGGTTGGTAGTAGGAGGTCCACTTCAGTTCAGAAACTGTATTCCAGCATAGGTCATTTAAGTTTGGCCAGTCTGATGTCTGACACACCAAATCCCTGTGCCCATCCATCCAGCTTTCCATTGGTCTTTCTTTTAAACCCCAGGAAGCTATCTTCCCCCCGCCGCATGCGTGTAGCACCTTCCGTCTTTTAAAATCCAGCAATAATGATGCTCTGGCCATTTGCCTCACGCTGACATCATCACAGTTCAACATGTTGGTGAGGTGAGAGGTCTTGTGGCTGTGTACTCCCAATGCAGTGTGGAACTCAAAGCCCCCCGTCCTGTCTTTTCTGGAAGATAAAACGTCTTGTGGAATGTGTATTGAGACAAAGCCATTTCCTAACCACGCTTACGGTTTTGTTGTCCATTTCACGCAACACACACACACACACACACACACACACACACACACACACACACACACACACACACACACACACACACACACACACACACACACACACACACACACAGTGTGTACAGGGACACTCTATAGGCGCAATGGTTTTTATACTGAGCTAATCAAATTTTCTATCCCCATACACTAAACCTACTTTAACCCTCTGGGGTTGTTCGGCCCAAATGGACCCGAAGCATTTAAAAAAAATTTGTTTTTAAATCATAGCTTTATCGGAATGGTCCGAAATTTGGTGACTTTGTTGGTACTTGGTATATGAACACCCCAAAAAATTGGGGACAGGATTTGAATAGTCTAAGTGGTTGTAAAAAAAATAGTCACACTCAGGACCTTCGGGTCCAAATGGACCCACATAGGAAATGAATGGGAAATTGGCAAAAATGTGAAAATACAGAGTTATTTTGTGCATACAATCTACAAATCAGCCACGATCCAGAAAAAAAGCACACAACAGTGAAGGGGTGAATCTATAAAACATCAAGAGTGCAAAACAGACACATCCACACACACACACACACACACACACACAAACACACTTTTATACACATACACACTAATAAATTCAGATTACATATGGGTTTTGAATTTTTAAAATGCTCAGTTTGTCCACCAGATGGCATCCATCTCATTACAAAAATTGCTTTCATGAGGCCTAGGCTTGACTCTAAAAAGAAATGCAGCTTTAAAAAATAAAATAATTTTTTTTTTTTAATTTCTATTATATTCAATGGGGAAAAAATGGGTAATAATTATTGCATTAATATTAATTATAAATCATTTTTATTTTTGAAATTATCTCAAAACACCAAAAAAGAATAGAAAAAATATTATAAAAAACAAGTAAAAAAAAAAAAAGATGATTTTTAAAAAATAAATATTAATCCCACCCTTCCGGCCCATTTGGACCCGAAGGTCCTGAGTGTGACTCTGAAATGAAGGACCCCAGAGGGTTAAATCTAATCATCACAGAAAACTTTTGGCCTTTTTGAACTCTGTTTAGTATGTTTTTTAAGCCATTTGGAGTCAGATTTACTAACAGCTTGCTCTAGAAAAACTGTTCCGCTTATTGTCTATAGTCTGTTTTAACCGACAATCAGTACAAGTGTGACCCTGCAGTGTTCATTCTGCAGTGTGGACGGCTTCATTTATTGTAGGAGTGTTTGTGAGGGTTCAGGTAGTGAACTCTTTCTGAACTGCAGAGCTCTAGCTGTCGTGTGAAACTGTGTGAAGTGAACGGCTTCAGTAATTTATATGGGATGAGACCATTTTAGTACTCTAGTGTTACTCGCATTCTGCATAATTTATTCAGCATTACAGTTTTGCTTGTCAAGCTGCTGAAAGTCTTAATGTGAATTGTCTTGATTGAATGTTTCGCTACATTATAAAGCTACATACAAATTATATTGATTTAAATAGGCTAATTGTTAATACAATATCAATGGAAGTACTAACAATTGTGATTTTTGTCATAATCATGCTGCCCTAGTTTTTTGTGTTGGTCAGACGTCAATTGACGGTTAATCTTGTATTTACGTTTAAAATGAATGAAAGTCATTGCATTATATAGCAGTATATCAAACCAAGTGACATTTATTTGAAAGAAAGCACACTTTTGGTTTTCAGGGTGCATTGTGGGACTTTTTTTGTGAGCAAACGTTTCAGTGCACTGGTAGGATTTCGCGTTTGAGGCCCTTAAAATGACCGACTCCCTGACCAGTGCCCTGACTTCAGCACTAGGGAGCTAATTGAGACGCATAGATACTGTTCAAAATGAATTTAAAAACTGGATCATGTTAGTTAATGTGATGAACTACACCTGTGGTTTCTCCTGTGTTACTCCTGTGTGAACTTGAGGAGGCAATGGCTTCAAATGCCAAAACGATTCAAAAAGTCAAGCTAGTTCTATAGATGCAATTTAATTTATCTAATGCATTTATTATTTGAGTGTGGCTTAGGTGTCCATAAACTCTTTGGGTCACTGTATAGCTTAAACTAAGAATAAATGCTATAGGCTGTGGTACCAAGTAAGTATTCTTAAGGAGAAGCAGTTCCGGCAAAAATATGTCCTTGACATCCTCGCCCAAGGTTTTCTTGATAAATTGTCTGGACTCTTGGGTATTGATGTTAGTGGCAGGGCTCATACTCATGTGTCATGCTCAATGAATGTTTCAACACTTTTGGTAGGAGGTGCTCGAGCTCTGCTTATTAAACATGGTTGTTTGACCTCAGCCAATCAGGTGTCTTCACAAACCCCCGCTGTGAATCTCACTGCCCTACTTTTGAGAAGCTGTGAAAATTGACTCTTTCTCTAGCTTCCCTTTCCCTTGCTCTTCATAATAATATTTCTCCACTCTCTGTCTCTCATTAATGGCTTCTCACACTCCCTCATTTTCCACAATCTCTCTTTCTCGTCTTCCAATTCTGCCTGTTAAAATAAAGGATAGTCTTGCAGGTGATAAAATATCATAATATTGAGCTACATATTTTATAAACCACATATAAATCACATTATAAACTTATTATAATAATAATAATATACAATTAATACAATGACTAAGTAAAATTATATTACTATACAAAATAGGTAACACTTTACAATAAGGCTCCATTTGTTAAAATTATGAAAAATACTCCTAAAACATTTGTTAATCTTAGTTAATTTCAACATTCATTAATACATTATTAAAATCAAAAGTTGCATCTGTTAATATTATCAATGAACAATGAACAGTTGTATTTTAATTAACTAACATTAACAAAGATGAATAAATTCATCCAATAAATTCTAAACCAAAATAACCGTAACTCTATAGTAAGTACATGTAGTTAATTAATATTACACTTATTTGTGTAAGTACAATGTAACT